TAACATTTGAATTCATTAATTGTAAATAAGTGTAAGGAAATTAATTTACTTCTATGTTAATTCTTACTAATAGTATGATTATGTTAAAATTTTAATTTTTGGTATTAATTAACTGGAATCAATAATTTTTTGACCTCCCGTTCGTCCATTTAGTCGCTAACTAATAGAATCCAACTGACAATTAGATTTTAATTGTTGAATATTATTACATGATTTACACCACGGACTGATTTTAGTCAAACAACCTTTGAAACCAAGAAGTACTGGATATCTGTTTCATTCTTGTATGGAACTTCTTAATACTGCGAATCTATGACTCTTTTGTTGATTAAATTCAAAACCTTCAAGTTTCATGACAAGCTCCTAACTGCTGAACTACAGAGTTGACACCAAATGATTTACACGTGTAATTTTAATCAATTCTCGACTGATTTTAAGAGGTAAACTTTAGAGTTTTAATGTGAAACATGACCAGTAGGGTTTAGCTATATCGAATACAAGGCAGTTACCCACTAATCGGGTTTAAATATGACTGCGCATTATTATGAACTGATTGAAGTTAGATATGTAATCTATTAGATGCTTGATCAGTGGTCTAAAGTTCGATTGCTTGCTAAGTAACCTGGAAGTCTTAAACGTGACCCTTTTGGGGCAAAGGAATGGACGAGCACTGTTTCGAAGTTTCAAACAAGAAAGTAACAGCTGTTCAGTCCCTCCTGGTTTTTAGTGGTTGTTTAACTAAGATCGATCAATAATAGTAACCATAAAACTCATCAATCTCTTCTAACTTATAGTGAGTGTCATTGGTAAACTAACGTTTGAGAGTTAGGGACATTAAATTTATTTTCATTATCTCATTAAAATTAGTCGTCCATCATTATTGTTGATGTTCATTTTACCTAACTATTAATTTGAAGTTTTTTGTGTAGTGTTTCTACCTGACAAATTTATCTGGAAAAGGTTCTGAATACTATTATACCTGCAGCGTAAAGGGTTATCGCCTCCCTCCATTATGAATGATGAAGGAATGGACAAGAAAAGAACCATGAATATTCTTAGCTTGATTTCGTATATTTTACTTAAACTAACATCGTTCGGGTGACAGTGGTAATATAAAACCAAATACAAATTAAGTTGAAAGAATTTATTTCTGACATTCTTTTATACAAACAGATAATGAGTGATGCAAAGTCAAAGAGGTGATGTTAAATATATTTACTCAATTTGATTAAAACATAACTGAAAACTTATAGGTATAATAGATACGTGTAAGTATGTGAACACATACATACATTTGTCCAAAAGTTAGGATCATTCTTGTGGGCTTATAACAATACAACTTTACATTGAAAATGTTTAAAAAACCTCACTTTGGCAATATGCAACTTTAGTTACACTAATAATCATGTATGTTCAATAATTTTTGCTATTTGGTTTTTAACTAAATTATGCATTCATTTATTCCTTAATTCTTTTTTTCTTCTTTTGTATAGGAACAGATTTCAGTTTTCGTTTACATCTCCCCTTATTATTGTGTTACAATAATATTGATATTCATAATAACAAGGATAGTATTGATAAATATTAATTCACGGTTCGTATACTAAACAGATCAATTGTAGATCTTTTTATATTTTTATATGATTTATTATTATTAATAAAATCATATCATAGCTACTGTACTGTTAATCTTAAGTAAATCTCTTTCAATATATATCAGTATGTTTGAATAACGATTGAAAAGTAATTTCTAATTATGATGGGGTTTTGTTCTCTGAGCTGGATGGTTTGAACCAGACCATCCAACAAAACTCCATCAGAATCATCCACCTGAGTTACAAATCTTCTCTACCATTTCAGTAATATCTAGTGCTCATAACAATTGAACATCTCAATTTATCTTCTCATTGTATAGTATTTGTTGTTTAAAGTTTGGATTCGACTGATTAAATAACGAAAACTTGAATCTAACTTTCTTTATTATTAGTAAAGATGGTCTGAAAAATTCATGAAATACATACCTTCCAGCATTAGTTTTCATTCTATGTTCTCATGTTATTAATTTCTTTCCTATATGTAGACATGAATTGTGGTATATTAGTGTCAGATGTCAGATCCTATATTGTTAATGTTTAGGGTGAGGAGATTTGTTATTATGTAGTAGATGCTGTTATGTTCTTAATGACCTTGTCTATTAGTATGTGATTAGATTGCCAATTACAATACCGACTTATATGTCCTTTTAACTGTACCAAACCAACGACATGTTAACCAGTATGAACAGCCTAGAGTCAATCTCTGAGTCCTTATTCGTTCTTCTTGCTTTGCCCTGCCCGCTGAGTCCAAAACACAAATTTCAGCTTCCTCTGTGTGAATCATATATTTCAGACGTACGCCGTTTATATACAAGTAAGTCAGGCCGCATAATACCATAAAATAGAAAATAACAACTATACAATATCAAGTCAAAAGTAGCTGTGAGTGTGAGATAGATTGAGGATAACTTATGAATAGTAAATCGTATAATAATAGCCGATAGGTCAAATAAAAGAGAAAGATAAATATATATAATCTAGTTACCTAGTAGTTTCACAATAAGAATATTTAGAGACCAGATGTTTAGATTCTTCAGATTTCAGAACACACCAAACATTTTATATATATATATATATATATATATATATATATATATATATTGTAAAGGCATTGTAACTTCTCAATATAAATATAGATTCCATCTGCCTATTGCCTTATTTCACATTTCATATTGCTGTGTGAAACTCGTACTTACAAAAGGTGAAATAGTGATTAACATGACACTAGCATAAAAAAACAAAGACTGACAACTGACCTTTCAAAAATACGATTTTAAGCGAACATACTCATTTATTAATCAATTTTACTGACATTAAATGATTAATTAACGAATTTCACGGCTAATGGTAAATACCAAAATGAATTTTACGCAGAATTACTACAAAATGAAATTCACATTGAATTAATACATAGAATATTATACTGAAAAAAATGTCATATTTAAATAAAGTTTTATGTTAATCAATATATCACACTGTAAATAAAACTAATATTCAACTGGACAAATATCATACTAAGTCGAAGCATGATCTCATGATTTGGATTGCATCCTAACATTTGTTCTTTATCTGAAATTCGGTTATCACACATTTCGAAAGGAAAGTCATCACTAGCATACTTCATCAAAATCGTTCCTTTTTTTAAAATTTGACCGTTATCAGCTTGAAAAGTTCAATTTTTTGTTAGCAATTAACTGCACTCCATGTAGAATGCTCGGTTATTGACAGACGAATCCGTCATTAACATGGTTTTTTTATTGAAGAAGTCAATGATTCATAATTCTATAGTTGCATAAGATGTGTTGTGTCAATTTCTGATCTGACATAACTTATATTAATTAGTTCAAATGACAAAATATTTGGTTGCTAACTTCTAAAGTGTAACCATCATTAAGGAATATTTTACCATAATTGGACAATTTTGAAATTCTCAAACATAACATTGTAGTGTCTGTTATTATGTTAAGCCCATTTACCTTATTCTAGCTTTTGGACAGCTCAATCTATTCATTCTGCTTGAGTCACATTCTGACCTTGTTAATTATTCGCTTATCAACCTTGACTATTTCTATACGAGCGCGTAGGTGTGTGTACCCTTCTTATCCCATCACTTATTACATGTCTGTAACTTATTTTTGTGTAACTATAATTATTGATTAACTGTTGGTTAAATGGGGAGTTGGCTTACCCGCCATCTTCACTACGCGTCGTTTCTCTTCTTTGTATTCTATCCGCTTCATATACAAAATATATGTATTCAAAGTCCATTCTCGTTATTTGACTTATTTAATTCCGTTATTGACCAACGCGATTTAAGTCAATGATTATATATGACGATAGGCGACATATACATTTCGATAGCAATCATTCATACGATCTATTTGGAGTCAGATCCCGGGCCTCTAAAGTGTAGACGAACACCGTCCGATCTAGATGACGACAAAATTAAGGGCCCCACAAAATGTCACTGGTCACTACCCAATGATCGATCATTTGTAAATACATCTTATTCCTACAGGAATTCACTCACGGTCCTGATAGCTCAGTGGTAACGTCTCTGACTGTGAAGCTGCGTGACAAGGAATCGGATCCGCCAGGCAGTACCAATCCTATCAAGACTACTGGTATACCTTGTTGACGAGTGCCAAATACACTAAACCTATGTCAAGTAGATCTTCCTATCGACTATCTCCAACCGTAAATTTACATTACCAAGATATAGTAGTATACCATGCGATTGAAATGACTAAGCACTTCATTTTCAGTCCTTCCATTATTGCACAACTCAGAATGTACACATTTGTACTATTACGATAACATCGAACAAAACTTCTAATTGTTTATCAATCATTAAAATTCTTTATTATGATTATTAAAATTGACTGTTTTCTCGAATAATCAATACAGCCTTTTTTAAATGAAAATATTGCTTAGTAAGTTACCAAGTAAATAGTTTATGTTATCCTTAAACCTAATGCTTGAAATAAAACAGTTCATTTTATATCTAACACTATTAGCACTATAGAATTGTTTGTCTCATTATATACATATGTATCTATTAGTTGAATGACTTCTAAAACAAAGTGTTATAAATCTCGTTTATTTTCTCTAGAAATTGATCTCTGATTTCTTTGTGAAATATACATCTTTTCGTGCGCAAATGTATATATATGCCTATCTTTCATATTCATTTCTTTTCATACTTTTTCTATGAAATAATCATCTGTAGTTGTTTATGTTGATGCAAAACACCTGGTATTGTTTTCCTATGAGACACTTTATATATATATATATATATATATATATATATATATATATATATATATATATATATATATATATATATATATATATATATATATATATATATATATATATAATCTTTTCTTTTTCATTCTATTACAGCACTCTAATTTCCTGATATGTAAGGAAAACCACTATCTGTCTTTCAAGTAACATTTCATTTACGTGTACTTATCAACCGTCCATCTCAATAAGTGATATTATTTAGTGTTGGTGTAGGTTGAAAGAAAGCTATAGGGTATCGAGTCAAAACATTGCATCAATTCATGAGGTAATGAATAGTTGAATTTGACCAAGTAGATTTAAGTGATAATTATCAGGTTGGGTTTCGCGCTAATATTTTAACGAATGATTTGAAAATTTGGCTGATATAACTTAAAATCATTTACTTCTACACTGGTGCATTTACTTCTTATCTTCTTTTGGTTTCAGAATCATGAAATCGGTGAGACTATAATTTATGGACGAACCAATCAGATATAAGAAAACAGGTTTCGGATTTTGGCGCGACATTCATTTCTTCATTTGGATAATTAGCGTTTTGGCACTATAGCTGATGTCAGTTCGTAATGAAAACCCGAAATCTAATTCCTAATCTTAACCATCAAATATAAATCATAATCCTTATTCTTTAAACTGTTTTATACTTCTTATTTGTTTCTAGTTATTAGGTGGGCATTATCAAGGTCAATTTAGCATCGCTCAAAGGTCGTCCATAAATTATAGTCTCCCCATGAAATCTCCATAATCTTTTTGATTTCTTTCTTTTCTACATGTAATTTTTTTCTAATACTATTCTTGGTATTTATCTCGATCATTTTATTTTACTGTACTAATGTTGTGTAGCAACATGAGATGACGTAAATATGTTTTAAATTTTATTGTGCATATGACCAAGTAGCTTTTTCAGGAGTCTGAACAAAATAAATTTGTTTTTTAATACGAATATTCAATTTTTTTTGAAAAATTACAGTCCTTTTTTTAGGTTTTGGTTTATTATATCATAAATTATTATAATAAACAATTTTGCAAGATATTAAACCAAGGGAGTTAGTGACAATAATGATGTGAACTACACAATAATTTATGATTTAAAACAATAATAATTTAATATATAATAATTTAGACTATCCTGTTTTTGACCAGTCTTGATTAGGAACTATGGGATGCTAGTAAATCTAGCTGACAAATCTTAAATAAGATGGAACACATGTTGTAGATTTCATTGCTAATAGCATTCTATTTTATGTTAAAGTATTATTGTTTAATAACATATGTATGAGTATTCGTTGGTCAGGCACTATCAGTAACAACCTACTATGAGAGAAAACGAATCAGATTCCAGACGAAGAAGAAATAAGGAAGAAGCTCTGAAAGTGGATAGGACACACATTGAGGAAAGCACCCATCTGCGTCACAAGGAAAGCTCTCACATGGAATCCCCCTGGTCAAAGGAGAAGAGGAAGACCAAAGACCTCATTACGCCAAGAAATGGATACAGATATGAGAAGAATGAACAACAATTGGTAGAACTAGAAAGGAAGTCCTAGGACAGAGCGGGTTGGAGAATATTGGTCGGCGCCCTATGTTCTATTGGGAGTAACAGGCGTAAGTATTAGTATTCACAAAAGATAATGAGGTTAACTGACACAACAACAACAACGAATAAAATACACTGAACAATAGAAAGAAACAACTATTAATAAGTCTGTCACTTAATATTTCATATTATATTGATCTATGAGAATATTGCTAAGCTACATTTAACATGCATTTATAAAGAATTTTTATCTTAAAAATCTTCATTCATGTATATTCCAAAAGATAGAGGAAGGTGGTTGGTGCAAGGACAGAATAAACTGTCTAAAGTGACTAATCAAATAATATAACAGTATGAATACAGACAGATCAATTGCAGTCCCAAACAACAATCGGAAAATACAAGCAAACAACACCAAGTGGATTCAGAAAATACAGTAATTTTTATCTCATCAGCTAACCGCTAACAGTGTTGAGGTCATATATAATCAATTCCTGTTATTCAGAATACATGAAGTAATCATATATTTCAAAATAAATCGACTGAAGTTAGACCGTTAAATGTCGGCTCATTGGTCTACAGGTTAAACGTTCACGCGCGAGACCGGAGGTCCTGGGTTCGAATCTCATGTGCGGAATTGTGGATGCGTACTGCTGAGGAGTCTCGTACTGGGACGAAACGGCCATCCAGTGACTTCACGTTTTCAATGGTGGTCTCAGACAAATGTTTAGCTAACCAATCAACTGAAATACTTCTTACTACTGACTCATCTTTTTTTAGCATAAAATCCATCTTTGTTTAAACTGATATAATCTTTTTAATGGTCGTGTTTGTCCTTCTATCCACTCAGTGCGAAAAAAGTCTCATTATTTCATAGAAACTTTGTCGTACATTGTTTATAAATCAGTATTAATTTTGTTTACATTCATCGTTTAACTGAATTATTAAACAATTGAATAATTAACTTGAATAGATTAAATCAAAATTTTATAATATAAATGACTTTATTCTTGTTTTCTCTTCTTTTACGGATATATTAATTTAATCATTTGCGATTCACTTCTGTTTCGGTTGTAAACTTAAATTATTGATCATCGTTTGGAACAATAAGTTTATCATTCATCATAGATCAATAAATATTTAGTGGAAACAATAGAAAGTTTGGATGTGATCAATAGTTGTTTATTTTTAGTTTAAATATTCATTTAATTTGTTTTCTTTCCCTTTATCTTATGTATCTTGCAGTTATAATGTATTCTGTTTTAGTGCTTTCTTCTATGTATATAATAATATTAAGTTTTCCGATTGGCTCATCGATTGTTTTTTCAACCTTTCTGAATTGATTATATCCATAAGTTTTGTTTAAATGTTGATAATGTTGTCGGACCTATATTTGAATGTCGATCCATTTGTCAATGACCAGCTACAAAGCCTGGGCTATATATTTTATAACTGTGCAAATACTACATATTAATATGTAGTTGTATACGCAAGATACTCTATATCTGTTTGCCGGATATTATCAACAACAACCCACTGTGGTAGAGAACAAACCAATTTGTAACTGAAAAGGAAATTAGGGAAAGATGTTGGAAGTGGACAGGATTTACATTATGGTAGTCACCAAACTGCATAATGAGGTAATCCCTAACTCGGGATCTTGAGGGTTACTGGAGGAGAGGATGTTCAAGGAACACATTACGTCGGTGATTGGTGGTAGATACCAAACAAATGAATAGCACTTAGAAGCAACTTAAAATGGTAGTCTAAAGCAGTGTTTTTTGAAGAATGACGGTTGGCGGTCTATTCTCAATGACAAGCATATAGTGGCCATTGAAAAAATACGTGTAAAATATAACTTCTGAATAATTACAGTTTAAATGTATATTGAAGAGAAATTTATTGCAGTATTGCCCAAGGATACCGATAAGTGCCTAACATTAAAATGTTCACAGTAATGAGCAAACCTACTATTATAAATAAATAATATATTTGTAATATTCCAATGAGTAGAAAAATTATCAAATCAAACCTTGGTAGTAATACCTACAAACCTATTATTTTAACTAAAAATGTGTTTAATATTAGAAGGACTTCATGAAATACCCATTAATGGTGTCATGGTAACCAGTTTCATATAGTTTTTAGCCTTTTTTCAAAAGGTAAACATACAACCTCTAAACTGATCTGGTAGAAGTGATGAATATTTTGGGTTTGAAAATTGCTTGTTCATTGTACTCTCAGTCTCATTTGAGACTAGACACTAGAATTAGTTAGTTTGGGAGACAATAGGATTAAACACATCCTAACTGATTTCGTATGAATTAGAAAGTAGTAATGCAGTCTCGAAATATATTGTAGTAATATAAAAAGTTAGTAATGTAATCCATACTAAACCTGATGTAGAAAAACTGCCAAACTCCCACTTTTATGCTTACTACAAGGCAAAGTGTAAATATATCATCATGAAAAACAACAAACCTCCGGGGATCTTACTATTCTCAAATCTGGAAGAATGACTACCTAATTTATCTTGATCATTGTATTTAGATGAAAGTAACTGACAACTTTGTACAACTCTGAAATAAAGATGTTTTACTTTTCCAAAATGTCTAAGAACTCTGTCTGCAATCTAATCCCGTTCATCACCTTTATATTTTTATTATTATTGGCACTACATTTTTGTAACTATTATGTCCGATGTCGTTGAACACTTTTTCAAATCTTTTATGTTTTCATAAATTCACATTATTTGATTAAGTCTAATTTCTTTTACTACTCTAATGTTTAACATTCTTCTGTCTTGTTTCCAAATATAAATGAGAAAATTTAACATTCACTGGGAAATGCATTTATTTTTATATGACGGTTAATTTTTCGACTGGTTTAAGCCAAATGTATCTAATACTAGAAGCTGGTGAAGTGAAATAAACTTCTATAATTTCATCGATTAGAAAAAAAAACTAGGTAAAGTACAATTTGCGGACGTACGTTTTGCATATGAAAAAATCTGTTCATCGTCTAAAGTTAATGTAAAGTAATTTTTAGTGAATTCAGTACAATAAATAAAGTCAGGTTAAACTGTAAGCGATAAGAGTTAGTATACATCTATGTGCATTACTTTAACACTTCCGTTATATATATACACTGTAAGAAGCTCTTTAGTTTTAAATTTGATATGATCAGTATTATGACTGACAACTCAACATACTGAGAAAATTGAATGCTATTTCTCAAATCTTTGTTTCCGTTATTTTTTCAAACTAGCTACTTGTTAGTTTCTTTTAATAGTCTTATTTATAATTCAACATTACTTTGTAGATTCTAACAACATCGCTTTTATTTGTGAAGAGCATTTATATTCTTATTATGAACTGGCATAATATTAATGAATTGTTGGTGATCAGAAACTGTTTGACAGATAATGTAAAAAAATAATCGTAGTAGTATTGATTTTGCCTCAAACTAGAAAAGATAATAATAATTATTTGTAACCAATGTGCGTACTTTATAGCATATTAAAGAAGATTGGTAGAACAAAGGTGAGTACGGAAGAATTATAAAATGAATGTAACTTATAAACAAAGCATTTAGCAACATTTTTAGTAATTCTCTAGTCAATTTCAGTTAGTAGCGAATGGAATTTTCCTAAATCCATTCGCATCACATCTAACAGTGTTTACAGGTTTTCAGTGGTTGTTTAATCCAAGTCCATTGGTTATGGGAAACTTGAAATCCAACAATCTACACTACGCCATGTAGCAGTAACAATCATAATGTGCTTATGAGTGATTAACTTCAGGAGTTAATTCCTTGAAAGTGTATCCATTTAAGTTCAACTATGAGAAAAATATCATCAAAGGGAATGGATAACAATTTCACGATATTGCAAACTGACTAAATCTTGAAGTGCAAATTGTTTGATTCCAAATCAGTAGTGTTGGACTATTGAGAAATCTTTACACGACTTGAGGTTATGGGTTTGTCGATGCTTACTGATGAGAGGTTTCATTAATTTTATTTAGTCTATGATGTAAATCTTTAATCTGAACAATCTTCACAACATTTTGTTATGTTAAATCATTTTATTTTGAAAATACAACTATAAGGTGAAATAAAATACATGATTATGGGATTTACTAAAGCTATACACTAAATAGAGATAGCTTATTAAAAATATAAAAAAATAACGTTTCCAAGTCAATCTAAACACACAAGTGTTATAATGGCTGTTAATAACATTTAAGTTCGTCTAGAGACAGAAACAAAAACCCCAGTGAAATATATATTTATATTGATTCGATACATAAATACCCAAGTAATAAAGATATCTGAAATGAAATGGATACACATGATTTTATGAATTTATGTTTGATAACGATGTATTTTACATGTATATGACATCCAGTTTACTATACATCTGTATTATTAATAAAGTTTGCAGATTATTTTGAATGTATTTTTATAATTGTAGGAACACTTGAAAAAAATAATAAATAAATAAAA